TGGTGGCTGTAGCTCAGGTGGTAGAGCTGTTGTCCTCTAATCACAAGGTTGGCGGTTCAATCCCCCGGCCCTCCACAGTCAAAGTGTCCTTGGGCAAGACACTGAACCCAAAGTTGCTCCCAATGGCAGGCAGGTACCTTGCATGGACGCCAGTGATGTATGAATGTGAATGAGTATCTACTCTCAGATGTACGCCGCTTTGGATAAAAGTGTCTGCTAAAATGTAAATTGTGAGTGCTGATGTTTAATGGCTCCTTAAGGATATCTGGAACTCCCAACTCAGAACTGATGAAGCCTCTTGGATGAGAGGTGGAACGTCTTCAAGGAACTCAAGCAAGTCCAGTTGCTACGATTAAACTGTGAGAACAACCTTGACCTGGATGACTGAGGATCTTTACCCACCACTTACTCCAACTAAAAATCCCACTTGTACCCCTCAACAATAACTCTGTTTTTCCAGCTTTTCAGCACTCAGAGAGCTTCTTCTTCTTCTGTATTTTTTAGCTACAGCCACACTGTCCTGGAGATACACACCTATACCACAGAGACTGCATACAGATCTTGGGAACAGCACCACCAACACGACAGGAAATACCAAAGTCTATCAGTTTGATTTTCAGGGGCTGCTGCCATCTGTCCTCGATCATGATGTTCTCGGGTTTTATGTCGCCGTGTATCACACCAACTGACTCCAGATGAGTTAATGCTGAGGTTAACTAAACACACACAGATGATGATATAAAGTTCTTGCACTTCATAAGAATTAATACATTCAGAAAAGATAAAGCAAAAAGTCTGACTTCTGTATAAATAAAGATAAAAACCTGGTGAAAGACTGGCCGTAGTTCTCTCATGTGCAGAGGCCTGTTACGTCTCTGCTCCATGTAGTCAAAGAGACTCTGGTCCAGAAGTTCAAATACCAAACATATCCGGGTCTCATGGAAGAAGGAGCCGTACCACCTTATGATATTGGCTCGCTCTGAATCTAAAGCCTGCAGACTCTCCAGAATAGCCAGCTGGGGAAAACAAAAAAAGTTAGATTTGTTCACCATTAACACGAAGTCCACAAACCACTGCATCATCTGGACATGCATCATCCCACCTCGTTCTGGGCCTGATGCTTGAACACTGGGTGGTTTCTGCATATTTTAACTGCCACAGATTTCCTGGTTTGAGTGTCCTTGCATTTGGCAACGTAGCCGTAAGCACCTTCCCCGAGAAAAGTCTGGACGACGTGGCTGGACCCGAGCAGGGTGCCTGGAAACAGCATGAAGTCTTCTGTGAGAGACACAAAGAGGATGATTAGAAAACAAGAGCTCGTACATATCCACACGCAAAGAAACGCAGGGACTAGTTTTGTTGTCCTTGTCTAGAATGAATCCATGTACTTGTTAAAGGCCTCGAGAATACACAGCATTTATGTAAAGGTTGGACAGTTTGACAGTTTTGGTTTATAATATTTAGCTGTTTTAAATAGTATGAGAGAAAATAATATAATGCAGGTCGATGTAATGCAGCCATAAAGTTCAATCGACTCCTGTCTGACATTAAAAAGGAATATATTTCAGCCTCAAGGTCTGCTCCACAAGATTGCATTAAACTCTAGAGTTGAAGCAAACAAACCATAAATCAATGCATGAGGGGGACGTCTTTGCAGCTAAGTGAAAGTTGATGTTAAAGAGTTGAAAACATTTTTCTCTCTGAGATGTTTCAGTGTCTGCGACTTCGCTGACTTGATCTACAAAGTCAGGTTTCTCTGCATATACACACCTTTATTTAAACTACACCATCACTGGCGGCTCTATTTCAGAAACTGCAGTGTCACATTTTATTTGTTGCTGGTTGGCAGGATGTCTAAGAGTGAGAGTTTGATACAAACTTAATTCTACATTAAGTATTTTGTTTCTACGGCTGTGTTATGAGGGTGATTTTGAATCTTCGAACCCAAATAGTTTCGTTGGTTTAATCCATGAAGTTAATGTTTAAAAAGAGTAGTGTTTATCATCGTTAGAATAGAAATACTACATTGCAATCCAGTGGCCTGTGACTTTAAATAATCCCCCTTTTTCCTTGTTATATATATATATATATTGGATTAACTTTGGATTGTAAATTACCAAAATAAAAAATAAGAAAACCTAAAGCAACAAAAATGTATCGGACACATTCTATCAGACAAGTACTAAAATTAAGAAAACAGAAAAAAGGATTATTTTAATACTTGTCCAGAAGTTGCAGTTTGTCACGACATGTTGTATTGATGCTGTCTTCTGCCAATTCCAAAGCAGATAAAATATAACACTATATGAATGTCATAATTAAAAAATATATATGTGTGTAATTATATATTTAAAACTAGTTTCAGGTCGAACAATCAAATAAAACTTCTCCAACAGACAGAGCGCACACTGTGACCACAAGAGGGCAGAATATACTTGTGATTAAACTCTCGATGAGCTCAATCAACAACTCAAACAAGCGTTAAGTCAGAAACAACAACGTTTCCTGGTGGTCCTTTCAAAGTAAAACATACAAACGAAACAAAAAAAAAAGTACAGGGCACTGAAAACCATCATCTCCAAGTGCATCGTGAATTGATTTGTGTCAAACTGGAGAAGTCAACTCCTTCACATGCGAGTGTATAATGACGATTTCAAAATAAAATGTTTAATACTTGACAGGTGTGAGGATAAACACAAAGACTTCATTCCTAAAGGTTGGAGTCTGTTTTGTAATATTATTTCTTCAGTAAAGACTCAAGCCCCTTTCAGACCTGCACTCTTTTCCATTAATTTGACTGTATTTGAAGAATCATGACAGCGATCCTACTAATGCAACCACTTCATGTTGTATGATTTAAGGAAGGATTTAAGGAAAGATTTTTCCACATTTTGGCACCAAAAAACCATCACAGAGACCATTTCTTTTTCACGTCGCTCAACAATTTCACATCTGTTAGGCTCCAACCTGAAATGTCCATAATAAATACACATTTCTGCAATAAGAACAGGCACCAACAGTCACCGATAATGAATGTAATTATTGTTTTTTTTCTGTACAAGATGTTAACATGAGCTGAAGTTCAACTTCTTGCCTCCAGCGGTTTGTGTGAGTTTTTCCTCTAAAATTGTTAAATATCTGCAGCATCAGACAGCAGCAGGATGCGTTTTAGCAGATCCAAAGAGTGCAAATGATAATAATAACTCAGCAAGTTTCATCTTGCCTGATGTGTGGCTAATTTGTTTAACTTTGCAGCAAAGTTAAAGCTGATATCAAAGAGCTGAAAAGTCTTTTTTTGGAGATATTTTAGGATCTGAGGCTTTGCTGAAATGATCTACAAAGTCAGGTTTTCTGCATATATACCGTCACTCACTGATGATTCTATTCCAGAAAGTTTTTTTTATTGGATTGCATGCAAAAATAAATATATTTGTTTTTTATTCCTTAGTTGCCGCGACACCAGAATTCAAGTCAGAATTGTTTATTTTTTGTCTTGTTTTGCTATGTTGAATGTTTTTTTGATCAGTTTATCAGCAGCAGTTAAATCCTTTCTTACATGCTGTAGCAGCCACGTACAGGCTCAGTCCTGATCACAGCAATCAGTATACTTTATTTTACTGCATCACAGTAGCTGGGTTATCATTACACATGGACAGAATTTTAAGTGTTTAAGAAATCATAACTAAACTAGGCTGTTAGCTGTTTGGACCATTTGAAAGCTTGCTATTAGTTTTAATTGACTCAGTCTGTGTTTAGTGTGACTCACCGGATGTATCTTGCAGGTGTTGGCCTTCCATTGGCTGCTCATTTCAGTCGGCTCGGCCCTTCACTTCTCTTCATAATACGTCCTTCACTAAGAAAAACAACAACAACACTCTCCTGGCAGCAGCCTTCCTCATTAAAAAGTTTTGCCAGTGATTTAGATGATCAGACAGTCCTGCTAGTATTTTATTGATGCATTATCCGTTTAAAGCAAAGTGCTCCTCTCCCTGCATGCAAATGTTCCACCGAAACAATTCAGGATTTCAAGTGAACACATGATCTGAGCTATGATTAGTTTAAATAAATACAAACAAGCCAGAGTGTTGTTGGTTTTCTTGGCCCCTCTATAGCAGAATCATTATGTTCCACAGAATTAGCTGCAAACTATTATGAATTAAACCTCATTTGATTTATTGTCAAATCACATGAATGGCAAATTCATCTGAATGAAGCAATGAGCAACATTAATATAAAAGTGACCTGAATGACAGAATTCCGTTACTTTAATGGACTGATGAAGCAGCAATGTTTAATATATCAGGTCAGAGAAGGTTGCAGTTGTACAGTCATCCTCACATTTATTCACACCCTCCCATTAAAGAAAAGGCAAAATTCACAATAGTCACTCACACGACTACAAACTAAAAAAAAGTGATGATGAATAAAAATTTACTAAATTGTAATTTAGTGAAATAAGACGTTGCTTTTTGGATTGTGTTTGAAAAGAATAATTAAAAAAATAAAATAAAATAAAACTGTCCAGGACAAATCAGAGCACTTTGCTGATGAGCAGTGAGCCAAAATCCAAGTCCCTGTCAACAGGTACAGAAGTCTGACTGAGAGTTACAGAAAACACTTGATTGCAGTGATTGGCTCAAAGGGTTGTTCAACAAAATATTAGTTTATAGGTCCTATCATTCTTGTTTGCTTGCTGTTGTTTTTTTGTTTTGTTTTGTTTTGTTTTCAAATATTTCTGTTGAACCACAATTCAAAAGCAATGTCATGATTTTCATTAAATATGTATTTATTATTACTTTTGTCAATTTCAGCTAATTTCACTGACAGCTGTTTTTTTTCCCTTCTTTAATAGGAGGGTGTGAATAAATCTGAGGATGACGGCACATGGGGGCGGGTCGCCACAAGGGCTTTTATTTTGAAATGCACGCTGTTGCTACCTTATCCTGATTCCTCCTCGTCTCAGGGATTTGAGCCTGAATGACTGCACGCTGGCAGGTTGACAGGCAGTTGTTTGGCTCCATCGAAGAGCCCAGTCATCCTGTGTTTGTGTACTTTACCCGCTACGGTGAACTTTTATTCGGGATGCTAATGCTAGCTTAGCCCCGGCGCCGCCAGCCATGTCTTCCCAGAGCAGCGCTGCTGGAGGGATCCAAGGGCTGCTGCTCAAACTTCACGAGTCACTTTCAGACGAAGACAGCCGAGCCGCAGCCCTGAAATGCCACGATATTATCGGGGATTTGGGACAGGAGTGCATGCTAGCACCGACCGAGAATGAACTTGGTAAGACCAGGAAGTCGCATCTGAAGCTAGTCCCGGCGTCTCCCAGGAGCTCGCGCAGGCAACCCGCGCCAAACTCCATTAACAATCTGGGCATTTATTGATAATAGTGCTTCTTCTGTTGATGAGCGTCAAATACCTTGTAGGATATGTCATTTTCGGATTTTTTGCATGCTACTTATTAGTTCGTCATACAAAAAACACCTCTGTATCACTGCTAACTTTTATTATCCGCCAAAACGCTCTGTGGTGGGAGTCAGAGCACAACAAGGAAACATGTGGTTCATTGACAATAAGAGAAGCTTGCAACACACACCACGGGTCACTCGACTATGTGCTTTATTAAACATGTGAAACAATCCTAAACTAAGGATGAAGGATGCAGTGTTTGAGTAATCTACAGCCAACTTGCAGCAGAGTTCAGGAGTCTGCAGGATGTTGGTCCAACCGCAGGTTTCCTCCATGGCACTGTGTTCTTCACTCCTTCATTCATACCTGTGCAATACATAGTTTATGCACAGATCATCATTATGCAAACTTAACCTATGATCCTGGTCTTCTCTGGGCTAAACTCTCTACCAGAGTGGTGGAAACATCTTCTCTCCTCAGGCTGATGATCTAAATCTTTCTCCAGCTTTGATGCAACTACAATGTTTGCACCAGTTGCTTGAAAGTCAGTGGTGTTCTCACTGTGCACACTTGATGGTGGCATTAGGTACACATTAGGGCTGCTGTCAGCAATGGAATTAACTGCCAAATTGATCCATCAGTTTGACTAATTTGTTTAAGCAAAACAAAAGTTGATTTCTGCTTCTTAAATGTGAATATTTTCTGGTTTCTTTGCTCCTCTATGACTGTAAACTGAATATTTTTGGGGTTACTGACAAAACAAGACATTTGAGGACAGTGACTTGGGCTTTAGGAAACACCCAAACTAATCAATAAATAGATATTAATCAACAGGTAAACATTAGTTGCAGCTCTAATGCTCATAATGTAAGGAGTGTATCTGGACAAGTATTAACATTCATGCCTCCTTTTTTCTCATCTCATCAAGTTTTACAGACGTCCTTGTTGTTCTCCAAAGACTATGGACTCCTCAGCTTCCTCAGGAAGTCCCTGCCATCGGAGGAGGTAGGACTATCCACTAAATAAACAGTAATGTAGTGAAATCAAAAGTTCTTATGTTGACAGAAACGTCTGTTTTCCAGCTGCGGGACACCCGGGTCGAGATCTTGTGTTTTCTGGAGAAGTTTTTGGACAAAGTCTCACCAAGAGTCAAAGGCTGGGAAAAGACTTACGCCACGGACATAAGAGTAAGTTTCTGTTTCGAACCAGTGAGGATGTTTGTTTGTTCCTTCAGAAAGACATGTCAAACGCCAGGTTGGTAACAGCGGCAGATGTTAGAATTTTATTCCAGGGCTGGTTTAGATTCATCATCGGCTCTTGACATGTACAGCATTTACCATGAAAACTAAACATGTGCTACATTCATCTTTTGCCTTTTCTACTCAGGACGTGTGCATGACCGTGTACACGAAGGAGAAAGTAGCCAAATGTAGGACTCCAGTGCTGGAGCTCCTTATTAAGGTTGGTTTCTGTTGGTGTTTTTTCTTCCAACATCAGAAGCTGCTCCTGAGAAAGTCAGACTTTCCAAATCTTATGATCTTGCGAGGGGTTTGCTCGATATTTGTGAATATTAACGCTTGCTGCAGTAAAAGCAGTTGTTCTTGCATGCTTTTGAAACATTGTTCATTCCTCCCTGCAGGTTCTCCAAACAACAAAGGCTTCCAGCGTCGCTGCAGACTTTAGAATCGGTGAAATATTCAACAAATTCTACAGCGAGCTGTGTCAGAAGAGCAAACTGCCAGATTCAGGTGAGTGTTCCTTTAATGCCTTTGGTTTAACGCCATAATGACAATTGCTCCATTCAGCCAGTAAATCGATAAACTACATAAACCTTTCTTACTCTTCTAATAGTTCTTGGTAAAATCTATGAGCTGCTGGGAGTTCTTGCAGAGGTCCACCCCAGTGAGATGGTAAACAACTCAGACAAACTCTACAAGGCCTATCTAGGAGAACTGAAAGAGCAGGTATGTTTTACAGATGATGAAGCACTAACAAAGATACTAGCCTGTGGGTTTTTTTTTTTAATTGATCTGGGATTCCAGAGCATATTATAACAGGTGAAGCCGGGTGTAACAGCTGGCTTCCTGTGTGTGGGTGTGTTCAACTGTGGTTTTCAATGTTCTTTCCAGATGACTTCTTCCACAAAGGAACCCAAGCTTTTTGTTGTTGCTGGATGTTTGAGAGGAATCACTGCCCTCATGGTCAACTTCTCTAAAACCATGGAAGAAGGTGGTGTTTCTGTTCATATTGATGGTGTATCTCAGTAAAACAAAAATCCATTCAGTTTCTTTTTTACTGGTGTTTGTTTCGAACTTGCAGATCCAGCAACATCCAAGGAGATTTTTCAATATGCCTTCAAGGCAATCAGTCCCCAGGTACACAATGTCACAGAGTACATTCTCAGAAATCTAATCATATGGCTGATTACACTGAGCTGTATTCTGACTGCTTGTTTTTCTGCTGTAGATGGAAATGACTCGCTATGCCGTCACCTTTGGTAAGACTTGCCATTTTTTGGAAAAATGCTGGTAAAACCTATGGAAAAAAAAGTAAATTGTCTGATTCTGTTTCTTCATCAGCTGGCCTCAGATTATTTTCCAAACACGCGTCCCAGTTCAGCAGCTGCCTGATGGACCACTACAGAGCTCTGTTTGAGATCATGTCCAAGCTCTGTGGACACATCAACGCTGAGATGAAGAAGACAAGTTACTACGCACTCGAGGCGTTTCTCAAACAGGTGAACACTTTTCCACACACACAACCAGACAGACCAGTTCATACCAGGATTTAGATAACGTCTTTTGTTATACTTTAATCATCAATACTGAGTTGTTTTACATGATGCCCACAGAGGTTGACAGTCCAAACATGTCTGAATGATCCCGTTTCAGGTTGCTATGTTGGTGGCCGAGAACATCGAGGAGCACAAAAGCAAGTTGAAGTTCTTCATGCAGAAGTTCTGCGGCATCATTAAGACCATGGACTCCACACACAAAGAGCTGTCTATCGCCATACGAGGATATGGATTCTTTGCAGCTGTGAGTTTATTCCTTAGTTTGCTCTAATCGTTTGTGCAAAAGCCAAAGTTCATGCATCAAATTCAAAAGTTTTATCCACACACGGAGCGACCTGATAAGGTATGGTGCACACCATATGGATGCAAACAGTGAGTTCCCAGTTCAAATCCCGGCCGGCCTGAACCTTCACTGCATGTTATCCCCCTGCCTGCTTTCTGTGCATTTCTTTCTACCCTGATGGCAACACATAAACAAACTAAGAAAGTCTGTCCACATGAATGTAGTTTTATAATGTAGAGTTTTTTTCAGTTGCTTGCAAATAATATTGTGTATCTATATGTTTGATTTCCTGTTTAAATCATTGGACAATTGTATGTAGAAACCAACTATTGCAGCATTTTTTGGAAAGTAGAAAAATCTAATAGTAACATATATATGCATTATGTTAGAAAAGCTGCTTAGCTTTGATACGTACTCTGCTACATGTGCTACAGACAGGAGTATTGTAAACAAATGAAGTCATAGCCATCATCTTGTTTTACATTATAATCTGTAAAAAACAAGAAAAAAGTTTTCATATTGACACATATTGGGCAATATGCAAGTCAATACTGACATACGTGTGATAGTCTTATATCAGGCCATTACTAACTAATCAATATATCCGTCAGGCCCTGGTGTTAAGTTTGATCTTGCGTCTTCTGTACAGTCTGGCGTTATTCATATAAAACATGAAACCTTATGTTCTCCCTGTAGCCGTGCAAGAAGGTTTGCCCACAAGACGTTGACCTGATGTACACAGAGCTGATTCAGCGCTGTAAGCAGATGTACCTGACAGAGTCTGACGGGGAGGACGACAGCTTCTACCAGCTGCCCAGCTTCCTGGACTCTATAGCCAGTGTCCTTATTCACCTGGACAAGGTAAAGGGAAAAAAAAAAAAGACATCATTACAGTTCACTGTGACCAAATGTTGAGTAACAACCACACCAAGCTTAAGATTGCTTTGACTCCTTGGAGCACTGTACAGTTTCTTGTCTGCATGTACATTATGTTTTTTTTTATTGTCTATTATGAACTTCTGCTTTATTCCTCAGATCCCAGAGGTCTACACGCCGCTGCTGGAGCGCCTCCTTGTGGTGCAGATCGACAGCTTCCCTCAGTACAGCGAGAGAATGCAGACCGCTTGTTGCAGGTCCATCCTTAAGGTGTTGGTGGCCATGGCCTCTAAAGGACCTGTTCTCTGGAGTTTCATTAGCTCTGTTGGTACGTTCATTATGAGCACATTGCACTGGAGCCAAGTGGCCAACATCTTTCACAATTTACAAAGAAAAGAGTGGTTGAACATTTGCTCTCAGGGCTGTTGGGTCCAATGCAAATAGACACCTGCTGTTAAAATCAGATTTAAACTGCTTCATGTGTTTGTATGACTGCTTCCTGAGATGGTAACATCTTCTACAATATTCACTTCTGTTTCTTTTTCAGTGCACCAGGGCTTGATTCGTGTCTGTTCAAAACCCATCATGCTTGCTGAGGTCAGACATGTTTTTAATAATGGAATTAACACAAATGTTTAGAGTATATATACATCACTCACTGTTTGGTCAATTCTCAAACAAGAATACTGCTTTTTACCGTGCTTATAAAACAAATATGTCTCTCGTCTTTTTTCTTTCAGGATGCTAGAAACGGTCCCTCGGAGGCTTCCCAAGTCCGTACTGGAAACTGGAAAGTTCCATCTAGTCACAACTACCTTGTCCTGTATAAGAACCTTTTAGACTGTGATCAGTTGAAGGTACAGTTCTTAAGACTTGCAAAGTACACATGTATGTCTCTAGTTTCAACAGCTGTCTTTGGTTTTAGTTTTGGCTCAACAAGTCCACTGTTTTACATGAAACCTGCTTCAGTGAGGAGTACATGCTGTTTGAAGTCCTTATTGTTCCATTCTTGTCTCCCTCTGCAGGATTCAGGATTTTTGGATGGAGCTTTTGAAAGTCAGAATGCTGCTCTCGGCTCTTTAAGCCGTCTTCTGTACGATGAGTTGGTGAAATCAATCCTCCGCATCGTGGAGAAACTGGACTTGTCTGTGCAGAAAGTAGTAACTGGAGAGGAGGTGAGGTCCAGCCTTCATGCACCAGGAATAAATATTTATATAGCAACACAATTATAGTGACACGGTTTTGTCCTGCCTGTTTGTACAAATCAACATTCTTTTGGTGGTCATCAATTTAAACATGACTCAGTCTTTAAAAGCCTTTCTATCTATTAAATCCTAACCCATGACACTTGACTCCGTGTCCATCAGGCTCCAGATGATGCAGCCCACGTCCTGCCCTCCTCCGACCCCACAGCTCATCTACTGCCCAACAAGATCAAAGATTTCACCGCCTTTATCAACCTGGTTGACTTCTGCAGGTAAAGCACACATAACAAGATTCCTCTGAGGTGTTTGAATAGGAGCAGAGCTGTGTCAGATGCTTTGTATTTGTGTTTTTCTTTCTGGTGTAGAGCTGGTTTAGTAAGTCAGATCTCAAGTGGAACATACCATACTTTATTCTTACCGTAATTTTTGTTTTCTACCAACAATATCCAGCGAGGAGTTTGGTCTCCCACACATCACAGTGTAAGAGGAGTTGAAAATGTCAAACTAAGTTCAGGATTGAAACTTGCAGACACCTTAAATTGTTGTTAGACTATTCTTGATTGCAGCATGTCTACAACTCCTTTTCTGCAATACAAAGATCTCAGATCAACGTGCTTGTTTTCTGCATTTGCAGCGAGTTGTTGCTGACTAAACACGTGGAGTACTTTCAGTCTTGGATGTATCCGCTAAGCCACGAGCTCATCCTCCACTCCATACGAAATCCACTCGTCAGTGGCTTTTACAAGCTGCTGTCTGTCACCATGAGAATTGCAAAGAGAATCAAGTACTACCAGGTAATATTTCCTTTGGTGCAAAG